CCTGGGACACCTGAGCACCACCATGGGTCTGCAAGGAAGGGGAAGCCATACCTCAAGGACCCTCTGAATTTCTTCGGATTTTTTTTCCCAGCTACTACACTCCAATGAACTAGAATTATTTCAGGTTGAGTAAAAGTACTTCATTACTGAAAAGCTACAGCCCTTAGTTGCTGAAAAAGTTATTTTGTTTCCAACCTGAGGTCATCTCAATGGTTTGCATCAAGTGGTCGTGTCACGTACTTTACAGGGACCAGTATCAAGTAATTTTATTAGATGTTACCTCTGACTCAAAAACTACAATGTCTTTTTTGAGATGCACAATCTTTTGGAAAACTCGAAAGGACCAATGGCATTCTTACATTAAAATCAGCAAAATGGGCCTTGGCCGAGTACCTCAGTTGGTTAGGTCATCATTGTACCAATACATCAAGGTTAGGGTTTCAATCCACAGTTAGGGCACATACAAGAATCAACCAAGGGCCCTGAGTGGTTTGGCTTAGCAGCCAGTGGACCAATGAGTCGTAGGTTCAGTTCTGGTCAAGAGCATGTACCTCGGTTGCAATTCGTCCCTGGCCCTGGTTGGGGATGTACGGGAGGCAGTCACTCGGTGTGTCCCTTTCACATTGATGTTTCTCCCTCTCTCTCCCTGTTCCTCTTTCTCTCTTCCACTCTATCTGAACAAAAATGAAAAAATATCCTCAGGTGAGGATAGGAAAAAAAAAAAATCAATCAAGGGTCCAGCCGGTGTGGCTCAGTGGTTGAGCATCCACCCATGCACCAAGAGGCCGCCAGTATGATGCCCAGTCAGGACACATGCCCAGGTTTTGGGCTCAATCCCCAGTGGGGGGCATGCAGGAGACAGCCAATCAATGTTCTCTCTCATCAATGTTTCTATCTTTCTCTCCCTCTCACTTCCTCTCTCTCTGAAATCAATAAAGGAAATTACATAAATAAATAAATAAATAAATAAACAAATAAATAAATCATTTAAAAAAAAATCAACCAAGGGCCTTGGCCGGTTTGACTCAGTGGTTAGAGCATTGGCCTGTGGACCGGAGAGTCCCGGGTTCGGTTCCCGCTAAGGGTATATGCCTCGGTTGCAGTTTTTTTGTTTTTTTTTTATCCTCACCCAAGGACATTTTTCCATTTTTTGTACAGACAGAGTGGGAGGGAGAGAGAGGAAGAGAGAGAGAGGGAAACATCGATGTGAAAGGGACATATCGAGTGGCTGCCACCCGCATGACCAACCAGGGCCGGGGACAAACTGCAACCAAGGTACATGCCCTTAGCGGGAACCGAACCCGGGTCTCTCCGGACCGCAGGTGGATGCTCTAACTGCTGAGCCAAACCGGCCAGGGCCTTGGTTGCAGTTTGTCCGTGGCTCCAGATGAGGTCGTGTGGGTGGCAACCAGTCAATCACATGAATGTTTGTCTCTCTCTCTCTCTCTCTCCCCCTCTATCTGAAGATTAATGCAAAAATGTCCTCAGGCGAGGATTTAAAAAAGGCTATATTAATCAAAGAGCGATCTTTGCCCTGGTCAGTTTGGCTCAGCGGTTAGAGCTTTGGCCCAAGGTCCAGAGAGACTGAGTTTGGTTCTCGCTAAGAGCATGTACCTCGGTTGCAGTTTGTCCCTGGCCCCGGTTGGGATCGTGTGGGTGGCAACCACTTGATGTTTCTCTTTCTCTCCCTCTTGTTCTATCTGAAGATGAATGCAAAAGTGTCCTTGGGTGAGAATTAAAAAAAAGAAAAAAGATTCTATCATCCTACTTTCCCTTCCAAAACAGAGAAAGTTTGAGATCCCGACACAATCTGTTCACTTCTACATACTGACGAATCACAATTCTGCTTTAAATCATCTGGCACAGTAAATAGAACCACCAAATTAAAGGTACAAAAGCAAAACAACTTCACAGAAAGATCATAAACTGGAGCAATGTGTTGACTGCAATCTCTAGGCTGATGAATAAGAAGCTGCAAAAATTCACCACAGCATGATGTGAGAAACACAATGTCCTTGAAGGAGGCACTTTTTTGGTGAGGACTGTTCTACTGCATCAACACTGAGTCACATCCATTACCTAGTTCAGGGGTAGGAACCTGTTTTTTGCCTAGGGCCATTTGGACATTTATAACATCCTTCTTGGGGAATACAAAATTATCAACTTAAAAATTAACCCACTATATTAGGTCAGGCAAATTCGGCGAGGTGTGTGATGTTAGCTAGTATTGGTTTTGTGGGAGTAATACAGCCCTGGTGGTTTGGATGTTCCCCACCCCTGATCCTAGTTAGAGAGAAAGTAATTTGTATCCCACCAAGAGCTCAGTGTATTCATTATTTCCTCAAGATAAAGGAATAAAATAGAGGACACCTTCCCCAATCATGCTGGGGTTGTGATGGACGCACATTGTGCAGGTGAGTCAGGTGGCAGAGGGTAACTGGCCTCAGTGACAAAAACTGGCCACAAAATGTAGTATCTATCAGTAGTATTCCCACAAAGGTTAAAAGGTGCAGTGCAGTTTCTTTTTTTTAATTTATTATTATTATTATTATTGGTATATGTCCCTAGTGGGAACCGAGCCCAGGACTCTCTGGTCCGCAGGCCAACGCTCCAACCGCTGAGCCAAACCAGCCAGGGTTCAGTGTAGCTTCTTAAAATCTCAATTATACCTAAAATTTATCAGGACTCTCAAACAGTGTATGTTTCACTTAAAAGATTTAAATCAAAGTAAATGTTTCTCAAAGTTTCCTTTAGTGTTGTTATACTTAGTGAGGAAATAATACATTCCCACAACATTTAAGGCTTTTTTACCAGTGAAAACTCGAAGATTAGATTTGAAGCTGAAATAATTCCCACATTGACTACAATTGATAAGGTGTTTATCCAGTGTACACTCTCTGTTGTTTAATGAGGCTAGAGAAATAGCTAAAGAATTACCCACATTTGTCACACTCCCAACGCTTTTCTCCAAACGAATTCTATAATGTTAAATAAGGCTCAAACATTGTCTTAAGTGTCTTCCACAATGACTTCTCAGATAAGGCTTTTCTCCAGAGTGAACTTTCCTACATGGAAGGAAGTTAAAGATTTCTCCAGCCCTAGCTGAGGAACTCACTTGGTTAAAGCATTGCTTCGAAATCCTGAAGTTGCATTTTCAATCCCCATTCAAGTCTCATAAAATAATCAACTAATAAAGGCGTAAGTAACTGAAACAACAAATCAATATCTCTGCTCTCTCCTTCCACTTTCTAAAATCAATAAGAGAAAAATATTGCCCAAACTATCCCCACATTCACTCCACTAATTAGGCTTTTATCCAGTGTGAACTTTGCAGTGTTGAGGAAGGCCAGAACTGTGTCTATAAAATTTCCCACATTAGTACACTCATAAGTCCTTTCACCAGTGTGAACTTTCTGGTGCAGCGTATGGGCAGATCTTTGGATGAAGGACTTCCCATAATCACTACACTCATACGGCTTTTCTCCAGTGTAAATTCTCTCATGTGTAAGGAGGTAATCTTTGCATCTAAAAGACTTCCCACACTCACTACACTCATAAGGCCTTTCATCAGTGTGCGCTCTGTGGTGTTCAATGAGCCTAGACCTCCTTCTTAAGGACTTTCCACATTCACTACACTCATAAGGTTTTTCACCAATGTGAACTCTCTGGTGTTCAGAGAGGGCATGTGTTTGCTTGAAGGACTGCCCACAATAACTACTCTCATATGGCTTTCCTCCAGTGTGAACTCTCCCATGGTTAAGGAGGTGAATATTAAGCCTAAAAGATTTCCCACATCTACTACACTCATAGGCCTTTCACAAGTGTGAACTCTGTGGTGTTGCATGAGCTTAGACTTCTGTGTAAAGGACTTTCCACACTCACTACACTCATAGGGGTTTTCACCAGTGTGAACTCTCTGGTGTTGAGTAAGGGAAGATCTTTGCTTGAAGGACTTCCCACAATCACTACATTCATATGACCTTTCTCCAGTATGAATTCTCTCATGGTTAAGTAGGTGATAATTGCACCCAAAGGACTTCCCATATTCACTACACTCATAGGACCTTTCACCAGTATGACATTTGTGGTGTTCAAAGAGCTTAGAGATTTCTGTAAAGGACTTTCCACAATATGTACACACATATGGCTTTTCTCCAGTGTGAATTCTCTGGTGTCAAATAAGAGCAGAGCTTCGGCTGAAGGACTTTCCACATTCACTACACCCATATGGCTTTTCCCCAGTGTGAACTCTCTGCTGTTGAATGAGGTTAGAGCTTTGGCTGAAGAACTTCCCACAATCACTACAATCATAAGGCTTTACTCCAGGGTGACCTCTCTCATGTTGAATGGTGACAGATTTGTAACTGAAGCATTTACCACCAACACTGCAATCAAATGGCTTGTCTCCAGTGTGAATTCTCTTGTGTTTAATGAAGCTAGAGCTTTGGCTGATGAGCTTCTGACAATCACTACACTCATAGTTTCTCCAGGTTGACCTCTCCTATGTCAAATGACATTAACATTTGGCCTAATAGCCTTCGACACTTGCTACACATAAAAAGATCTTCTCCAAAATAGACACTCTGACACTGAACAAGTTTCTGATTGTGGCACAAAGCCTTTTCACATTCGTCCCACTCGTGACGTCTTTTTCCACTGTGAAGAGCCTGCCACTGTCCTTAACACTGTGTGGATCTGCACTATTTGAACAGGCCTGGTGATAGAAATGCCAGAAATGGCTGGGAAGTCCTCCCCTACGTCTGAATAGGTGCAATTTGCCTTTGATACATAGAAGCTGCATCGGGCCAGAAATGAGGCCCTGTCCATGTCTCTTTTCCAGGGCTTCTCTCCACTGGCATTCCTTTGTTGGTGGCAAAGATTTGTTCTGAAACAAAAGTCTCTCACACATGTGTCACTGATGCATGCTTTCTGCTCAAGGAATGTTGCTTGGAATTCAGTCAAGTGCAAAATATCTATCAAGACTGAGACCCAGCGCTCACAAAGATGGGTCTTCTGGGTTGTCAGACCTGTCGAAGCCTTGACCAGTGACTCTTCTTCTACACATACAATCTTCTCAGAAACAGCTTCCTCATCTTCTGACTATGCCTACAACCTGGAAGCAGAGAAATGATGAGCACATAAATGTTGATGTTAGTGAGAAGGGGAAGTCCCATTACAGATCTGTCAGACACAATAGGCTGGTTTCACGGATTGTCTGAAAATGAGATTGGAGGCAGGTTGAATAAGGTGCTGCTGTGCAGTACTGGGCATCTGAAGATCACAAATAGATGAGATGTCACCAGAAAATAGACACAAAAATGGCATGTACTACATGGAACAGAAGCAAGATATCCAAGTCATGCTTCTGCTAACAGTATTAAGCAGGGCTTTTCTGTTGGTGGCACGGAAAGCGGTACAGAGGTTGGTTATATCTTTTTCCCAGTAAAATTCAAAAAATGAGTAGCTGGTGTTCAAACACTACTTAAGGATGTATGCACACATCATGATACATGCACAGGTTATTGTTGGACAACACTGCAGAGGGGGGAGCAGTGCAGAAAAGTAGGTAATGCAGGGAAATGACAAAGATGAAGGTAGGCAGGAGTCAAAAATTCATATGTAAAATAATAAATCAGCAAGCTATCAAGTATGAAAATGAAAAAATAGAAATGAGGTGTAGTAGGACTTGCACTTAACACTACTGGACACAGAGCAGGTACCTGATATGATCTGAACACAGCAGCCCTTATGTCATGCCCTCTCCTAGTTGCCACTCGCCATGGCCATGGATCTGGACATGGGGAATCTGCCAAGGAGACAGCAAGTGAGGTGGGATTCGTTAGCTGTCTGCTAGACTCCTGACTCCCAGACACTTCCTGCACTTTCATAGGCAATAGGTGTTAGGGCTGCTCAAGGAGTCATTGCTCAGGGCACCCCACACAGCCCAGCACTGACAGGCATAGCACATATGACAGGAAAGTGAGAAATCAGCAGACCTCATGGACTGACTATGGGAATGACAAAGCTCCCTTTGGAGAAAACAGGGAAGGCAAGACATCACCTCAGGGCAGTAGGAGAGATATAAAGGTCTTACCAACGAATGCAACAAGTGAAAAGATTTCCAGTATCACATCACGGTACAGAAGTCTCTGAGCCTCATCAAGGAGCCCCCACTCCTTCTGGGGGAAGATGATGGCCACATCCTCAAAGTTCATACCCTGTCATAATGGGGACAGTTTTTATTCCACCATCATTTTCCTCTTAGGATTCAGTTTGTCATAACTCTCTTGGTTGCCATCCATCTTCTCACGATACTCCCTCCAGCTCAGAGAAGATTCCAGGCCTTGGTACCATCGGGGACATTCTCTTCTCATATTCTAACTGATACTGTTCCTTCCAACAATAGACAGATGGGCAGATAAATGTTACATGTGTTCTGGGCTTGGCATGTATGCCCCATTGCACATTACATCTTGTAACTGTGGTGAGTGCCACAATCATAGATTAGAAAGAGAAGTTTCTTTTAAAGAGGATGTGAGTGATTTGACTCTGGATTTCTTAGGCAATATTCTTGTTGGTGCCCAGACTACCCTTCCAAAAAAACAAAAAACATAAAACATGGCATCGCCCTTCACTCAAATAACCCCAATCTCAGGGCAGTGAGGCCATCAGTTTACATTACCTTCTGGACATAACTATTTGAATCACACCTCCCTCACAGCTACTTTCCCAGAGACATAACCTCAAGGCAACTCAAACATCCTGTGACAGGACAGCTGGTTCCCTAATCAGCTCCTTTCCCATGACACTAGATGACCATTCCCTAATCTCTTCCCTGCTACCATTTTCCCTTCCAAGGCCAGTGGAGATTTTTGAGCCCGGCTGACATTGAAGTCTGCCTTGTCATCGAGAACCTATTGATCACTGTTGTCAGCCCTAACAACCACAGGCAGATGGACACATAAATGGCATCTAAGCACTGGACATGGCATTAAGCACCACAACACCCTGCTTTCAGGTGATTTTAAGGGATTTGTATATTAGTTCTTTCAGACTCCAGGAGACATGGGCTCACCCTTCATTCACTCTTTTGTCAAAGCCAAGACCCTACAGCAGTGAATCCACACTCCTTCTCCAACGCCCATCACCTTTTCTACCACACCTCTCTCCCAAATGCACGCCCACTGCCACAGCAGTCTCCTGCCCTGCACCAGAGTCATTTCCATCGCTTTTCATTACTCAGCATATGTGGTCCAGAGAATTCTTGGAAAATTCTAACTGGGACAACTACTACCTAGGCTCTGATGGCCCACACTGACAGAAACAGCCTTGAGTCTGGCTACGAAGGCCTTTCTCTTGGACTGTTCCTTGCTTCACCCTCACCCACTGAGAGAAGCACATCAGATCTCAGGTGTCCACAGCCCTCCCTCATTGAGTCTGAACTCGATGTGTCCATTCACCTGTCACAGACTTTCTCTCTCCACCTCACCCTCACTCAAGTCACAGCCCCAGTGGCCCTCTACTCATAGCCAATGAGTCTCAAACATGACCACTTATGCCCCTAAGTGTATCAGCCAGCCTGACTGCAACAATCCAGGCTATACCAAGGCTCACAGCAAAATCCTGGCAAGTCTTTAGAGTAGTGAATATACACCAGCCCAAAAGTCATCTTGTTTAAATTAGTCTTAGGCCTTCAGTCCATTGCATTTCCTCCTATGCCATGAAGGCCTTGGCCATCTGCTATACCATAGTCTCTCTGCCACCCTTTACATCACCACTTTTATCTGTAAACTTTTTTTTAATCCTCACCTGAGGATATATATATATTTTTTAAAAATTTATTGATATTTGTTGAGAGAGGAAGGGAGAGAGAGAGAGAGAAATATAAATGTGAGAGAGAAACATTTGATTGGTTGCTTCCCGTTCGAAACTGAAGTGGGAATCAATCCTGTAACCCAGGTCTGTGTCCTGACCAGGAATCGAACCCAAAAACTTTTTGTGTCTGTGATGATGCTCTACCAACTGAGATACTGGGCCAGCACGTATCCTTAATCTTTGTTGTGACATCAACCTTTTGCAAGCAGGGTGTCCAACAAGAAACCTAGTAGTCAGGCCCACCTTCTATTTTCTGGGATAGTACTACAATTATCATGCTGACCAGGATTTCCCATATTAAAGTGATCTACAGCTTCTTCCTGGTCCACACTCTCTCAGCTACCTTTTAGAGGAGTCTCCACCCTGACTTCTTCCAAGAGGTTCAGACACATATGAATTGCTCTTATATTCTTAAAAGGCCAAAAATAAATCTTGTGATATCCCCAATGAAAAGTACTCTTATGACCTAGCTGGTTTGGCTCAGCGGTTAAAGCTTCAGCTTGAGGACCAAAGAGTCGCGGGTTCAATTCCTGGTCAAGGGTGTGTACCTCAGTTGGCATTTGATCCCCAGCCTGAGTTGGGTTGTGTAGGAGGCAACCAATGGATGTGTCTCTCTCACATCTATGTCTCTGTCTCTCTCTCCCTGCCCCTCTATCTGCAATTCAATAGAAAAATATCCTGGGGTGAGGATTTAAAGAAATAAATAAATAAAAGTACTATTACTACTACTGATTTCTCCATCTTAGTTGATGATGCTTTCATACTTGTAGCTGTTAAGAGAAAGCCTTCAAGTCATCCCTCTTTTTTATTTTTGAATTTATTAATTTGTTTTTGTTACAGATGTTTCTCATTTTTTCCCCAATGACACCGCCCTTCCCCCCTCCCCCGCTCCATCCCCAGCTTTGTTGTCTATGTTCATTGGTCATGCATACATGCATGTAAGTTCTGTGGTTTATCTCTTCCTCATCCCTGACTCTTACTACCTCTCCCCTTCTCCCTCTGTCTGTTTCTCTCTCTCTTGACAATATTAGAAAATCCAGGTAGCCATACCTAAAAAACCCACCTAAAATACAACTATTTCTTCCCCCTCCTGGGCCACCATATGCATCCATATTCTGCCACATTCATCGACTATTGCAGCACCCTTCTCCCTGCTCCTTCTACCTCCTCCCTGACACCCATACTGTTCTCTATGCTGCAGCCACAGGGATTCTAAAGTGTTCTGGGTTAGATCACCTGCCTCCACTGCTCCAAATCTCCCACTGTTCACATCACCTGCAGATCACACACCCAACTTATCAAACAGCTGCTCTAGTTTATATTCCTATCCCAGTTCTCATAAAAAAGAAAGGGTACTTGCAGGTCTCTGAACCACCTCAGCCTCCCTTCCAAGCCTTTGCACATTCTAATACCTATCCCAGGAAGGACCTTTCACATCTCCTTTCATTGCTTGCCAAAAATACAGATCACTTCATATAACCCTGGGCATCACATTAGGACGCTGGATTGGGTTAGTTCCAGCTGTCAGGCCCAAGGGCTGTAAGAGTGGCACAACAGTCTTAAGAGTTCCCAATGTCAGAGACTTTAAGTGTGTGAGGCCCTCAAATAAGCTCCACAAACCAGTACCTTGAGCGATTCTGCAGGTGCAGGAATCTGTGGAAAGACAAAGGTCTGTCGAGAGCCTGGCAACCACCGCCAGGGTCCCTGGGCTCAGGCTGCTCAGTGCCCTTGAGCAGCCCAGGGGCCAGGTGACCTCCAGATGCCTGCACTGCCTCAGGGCCTTATCCTCAGTGCATTCTCTTGCCAGAGACGTTGTGTTTTAGGGACCTCCTGTCCCTACCTGCACTTCTCTCCCTTCTAGTCTCCCTTCCTCTGAGCAGCTTTGGGCAAGCGTTAGTACCTGACCTCAGACAGTGTCCCGCTTTTGTTCACGACCATCCAAGTTTCCATGGACCCCGCGTCCTGAGAATGAAGGTAGAACTGCTCAGACACTTCCCTTCACCTTTTGCCTTTAGCTAGAGAACAGGGACTGTTCTCCAGGCTCAGCCGTCTGTCCACGTCTTTATATGATGGCCCCTCACCCTGTCCCTCTCCCCCACCCTTGTCACACCATGTGTCACTCACGAGTGCTCTCGGTCCGCACGCCGGGCTTGGGCTGCAGGACGTGTCCGGTGCCCGCACCTGGGCTGCAGGGCTCGGGGCGGGGAGGGCGGGGGTACACTCAGCCGGAG